AAAAGATTCTGTTCAATTTTCAATTTTAAAGAATTTATCAAGAAAATACAAAACTCCAAAGAAAAGTAAGAACGTACAGTTAATAGTTTATGTAACTATTATTAAAACCAATTATAAATGAATAAGTAGTATAAATGCAAACATAGCAGTTAATAGATTTACTGCGTAATAGAAAATACAATTAGACATATTACAGTAACAATTGGTTTTACTGTTAGTCTCTCAAATTCAAGTGAAAGTAATATTAATGTAAAGATGTTGGTTCTCCATGTACGATTATCTTTTGTCCCATATAATAACGCCAGAACAAACTGTTTCCTCTCTTTAACTGGTTAGTAACTGACAGATGAAACCAACAATCCCGCCACCCGTTATAAATTGGCATACGTGGAGGAAGACCAGCAGCCAACCTTTATTGAGAAATAAATCAATATATCAATGTTTCACTGAATTGTGCATATTGTTGCATATAATTGCATATTAAAACTCACCCGCAGTTATTAACAATCATACAATTTGATACGACTAAAAATGGGTATGTGACTGTTGTCGCTATGAACTGAAAATATCACAATAAATATTAATATAGAACTATACTGCATTGCTCCTATTGCAATTAAATAATTAATTTACTTACACCCATTGTAGCATCCACACATGGTTTTGCCTGTTCATCATGAACTAGGTATTTATGAATAAGATAACTAGATGAACTAAATAACATTATTGCAGCAGTATTTCCAATAAGTCTAGGCATCAATCCTGTATAATATCCCGCAATTCCCTCCGTTTTATATATTTCCATAAGTGATCCGAATAATCCACTTGAAATTCATAAAAGAAAGAAAATAACTATACTAACATGAAAATAATAGTTTGATAAGTATAGATAATTGATAGTATACTTGTATTTTGTTTCTCTTCCAACAAATTGTGCAACTGTCCTTATCGTAATGACTGTTAATGGCTGACTGATTATAGTTGCTACTATCCTACTAACTACATCCCCTATGAATTTAAGTAGAAATGTCTTACATGATTCACTAAAGAAGAAATCGTCATCATTATTTATACTAATCGCTTCTTAAATTTCTGTTATATAAATATACACCTACTCTTCTTCCTTTGAATATCTGCTATTATTGTGATCGATATCCTCTATTGCTTTCTTGATATACTTAGATGTTTTATCAAAAGCTATTTTACCTACGGTACAGGCACATGTTCTTGGAATAATACCACGATAACATCCAAGAATGCCATCCACATTTTTTATATAGGCCACTGTAAAACAATGAAATAGTCAAAGCCTTTCATAGCAGTTACAAGAAAAAATTGAAATGCATTAAATACATTAGATCCCATAACAACATAAGAATGGAATCTGAGAAGAAAAATCATGTACCATATGTAAATATATTAGGCAAAATCATAGCCGGCTGTCTAAGTAATAAAGTTGTCGCAGGTCGTGGTACAATCGGTTCATATCCAATCTGTTATAAACATAGATAAGCCTGTGATCAATTATTGACGTCCAAGCAGTTTATCGGTGACGCATGTTTTACCTGCATTAATACTTTGGCATATTCTATTGGATATAAAATGGTAGTAAAAATCTCCCGACATATCACAGAAATTGATGTTTCCTCTTCGTGCACCTGTATCATAATTAACTACAATTTCTGTCGACTAACACTCTATGATGTAATGTTTACTTAATGATTTACAATAAAGGTTAGACAATCTCTTTTCAGTTACGGTACAAAGTTGAATAACATTAGATTATTAGGTACTACTAGGCATATCGCAAGACCATACACGAGTGATTCAATGATATTCACGGTCCACGGGAAATACGGGAGTGGGGGATAGCCGGTATCCCCACCATAATGCCCTAAGGCTCGATGGTGGCGGCCTGTAGCGAGTTCAACAGACACTTTATCGTGCGTGATATAAACCATAGTACTATTTTTGATCCATAAAATAGTCTTCTTTCCTCCAAATCCCCGTACTACTTCTGGTAGCTTGTTTCTTTCATTTTTTTATTTCCATTGAAATACCCGGAACAATTAGGTCCCGTGTCAATTTTTACTCTATCTTGTAAAAGCGTATTTCTATTTTCGGACGTCTTCCTTTTAACACCGACGGAATCTTTTTAAGTTTTTATTTTTATGTACTTCTATTTCCAGTTTTGCTTTTTGGGGCGGGGAATGTATTTTTTAACTCCTCTTATAACGCAACTGTTCAAAAATCTAGAATTTTTAAGTGGCAATTATGAGGGGAAATCAAAAAATGTAATTTAACGTGAAATATAGTCATTAGCTTGTTGTTGGTTGCGCACGCTTTACTTGTTTTCTTAATTTCGCGCATTATATTTTCCGCGAACGCGCTACAGTTACGAAGAAACATGGAAGGGGAAACCGGTACGTGAGAGGCTCCTCGTTTTGTCCTTAGACTATATACACCTATATAGACACGACTTTAGATCATTTACCTGATGCAAAGATAAAATCATCCACACGTAACGTCAAAGTGAACAAGCTATGCTAATATGATATACGATCTGCAATTTCGAAGGAGTAACACAACGATGTTCCAAACGTGTTCAACTGTTTTAATGTTTGATATTAAGGAATGTGCGAAAATGTTTAACTTTCAGAAAATAAATTCGTTTGATTAAATGTGAAATATTAGGAAGACCGTAAAGTTATGTCGTTTGTTTACATTAAATTCAAACAGATAAATATGCGCAGAAACGACATTACTTTTCGGTCCCCCTAATACATATGCACATTTTAAGAATTATAATTTCGCAGAATGTATTTAAAGTTTAATTAAGATATTCATATTAATTATTTAAATTAATCGAATAATATGATTTGATTCTACATTATTATCGTATATATCCTCAACATTTCCAACCAATGGTCACCGATTTTGAATGAACATCTTTTATACCGCGTGACGTGTGAATTAACAGTTATCTTTGATTCACTGAACTGTTAGATTTTCTATAAACGCTTTCTATATCTAGAAGTACATACATCTACATATATGTATGGTTTCATTAATGTTATTTCAATATAAAAGTTGAACTTAGTTTAATCCATCTGAAGGCAGGAATTTAAACGAATCGATTACATACATATACACATACAAAAGAAAACACATGCGGCGCTGTAACGTGCATGAAGAGGAATTTTACAGAGGCGAAACTTATACCGGAACTCTTAAAATTCATGTTACCAAATTTGGTGGCATTGACATCATATGCACATACAGTGTTGCCGCTTCTCTGTGTCTAGATATTGACAAATATATATGAATGTATTGTAAAATAGTTAAACCGTTGTGTTCCTTTAGATAGTAAAATATATGGAACAAAACACATATTGACATATTTTATCGATACGAAATATGTTACGATCNCAGAAACGACATTACTTTTCGGTCCCCCTAATACATATGCACATTTTAAGAATTATAATTTCGCAGAATGTATTTAAAGTTTAATTAAGATATTCATATTAATTATTTAAATTAATCGAATAATATGATTTGATTCTACATTATTATCGTATATATCCTCAACATTTCCAACCAATGGTCACCGATTTTGAATGAACATCTTTTATACCGCGTGACGTGTGAATTAACAGTTATCTTTGATTCACTGAACTGTTAGATTTTCTATAAACGCTTTCTATATCTAGAAGTACATACATCTACATATATGTATGGTTTCATTAATGTTATTTCAATATAAAAGTTGAACTTAGTTTAATCCATCTGAAGGCAGGAATTTAAACGAATCGATTACATACATATACACATACAAAAGAAAACACATGCGGCGCTGTAACGTGCATGAAGAGGAATTTTACAGAGGCGAAACTTATACCGGAACTCTTAAAATTCATGTTACCAAATTTGGTGGCATTGACATCATATGCACATACAGTGTTGCCGCTTCTCTGTGTCTAGATATTGACAAATATATATGAATGTATTGTAAAATAGTTAAACCGTTGTGTTCCTTTAGATAGTAAAATATATGGAACAAAACACATATTGACATATTTTATCGATACGAAATATGTTACGATCGATTAATATCAAGTATCACAGGCTTAGTTTGTTTCCAAAACTTAGTATTAATATAACAAATTTCGGAAGTTGCTTGTCAGATTGCGGTAGATTACTCATGGTTGCTAAAATACATATTCTAGTGGTTAACGGTTATCTTGAAAACGTAGAGGCAATGCACATATGTATTGTACGTATGTAGTACATATTCGACGGCACAGTAAATACTCGGAAGCGCCATCTGTCGATATAAGTTGAAATATCATTTTTCTAGATCATTTTTCGTCATGGGTACTACATAGTGATGTAAAAGGTGTGCGTAAAGGATATCGTGCTGAGCTCATCTCACTACATATTTGTGATTCATCTGTTCTGACTTCGATGGCAGAACTATGTGCGAAGTAATCGAGTAGTTAATGTGATGTTTTGTGAAGGCAATAACGAGGTGAGTCCCAATCATCTTTTGCAATTGTAACGGTAAAAACTTCAACCCGACATTTTTCCTCGTGGCAAAGGCAGATACCATTTTTTTTTTTATTTTATCCAGAGCAATCATTTCGTCGAACGCTAAGAGCATCGAACGACAATAATTTAAAAAAATGTTCGATCGAAATACGGGAATGAAATGGTGCACAATCGAAATACCTCCTTACACGTTTAATAGTGACGAAATCGAATCTTCCATTTGGCAGAACTAGGGATAGAAAATAATTGTCGCGTAAAAAAAACAATCGACGGGCTAACGTTACCATTTCGAACAGGTTTATATCTATAGATAAATGTTTTGCAATGGAAACGAAGTTCCTTTACCATCCTATTAACACTTTCGTAGATGTCCGAACGTTTCATGATTATTTCTTTAAACTACTAATGGTTAATTCTCTCTTTCGAGAAAACAGTTCTATGTAATTGCGCGATAAGTTCCGTAATTGTAATCGCGCAATAGATGTTTCTTACGAATCATTCACGTTTACGAACGTTTTACAGACGTAAATGAACAATTGTTTGAACAGTACGTATATATGTTTCAACTTGAAACATTAATCCTTCTATAAAATTCTTTGTGACGAAATTATTACTGCAAACAAAATTGTGAAATCGGATATTTGAAGAAACATGATTGTGTGATTTTTATTTCAGAATGCCAATTCAGGCACCACAGTGGACTGAATTTCTTTCTTGTCCAGTTTGCTGTCATGATTTTGATGTGGCAATACGTGGCCCTATATCATTAGCATGTGGTCATACTATTTGTCGTACGTGCCTTGCAAATTTACATCGTAAACAATGCCCTTTTGATCAAGTAAGTGACAGTTATTCCATTTCTGATTACAATTATTCTATAAGTATTTATTAATCGAGATTAGCAGTAGAGGAAATTTAGACAATATTGTAAGCAAATATGTTTGTAATTAATACGTATGGGTTACAAGTAATTTTTACTTTGTAAAAGAATAAAAGTATCGTGTATATTTTTCAGAGTATTATCAACACAGAAATAGAAAGACTACCGGTAAATGAAGCTCTATTGCAATTAGTAGGGAATCCTGTTCCCATAAATGTTGCAACAGCTTACCAGAAGTTACTACCACCTGAAGACCATGCTAATTATTTGGCTGCTAAACGTTGCATTGAGGAACTTGCTCTATATCTCAAACCATGTCAGACAAATCCGACTCTAGCTGCAGGTAATATTAATTACTAGAAATACATGGCGCTACGAGTGACTTAGTTTATAATCTCTTGTAAAAATGACAAAAATGTTTTTTGCATGAACAAATAAATGTAATTAACAATTTTCTTTACAATACATGATCTCGGTAATTGTGAAACATCTTTTGTTATGTTTTATTAATAAATGTGATAGGAGGTATGGGACTAATTTCTCGGCCAATGCAAAGGAAACTTGTGACTCTTGTGGGTTGTCAGTTAGTTGTACCGGAAGGAAGAGCACGTGCAGTGAGAGCAGCTAGAAGTTTAGGAGAAAGATCAGTTACAGAATTGATACTGCAACATCAAAATCCGCAACAGCTTAGCGCTAATTTATGGGCCGCTGTACGTGCTCGTGGTTGTCAATTTCTTGGACCAGGTATTTTACGATAGATCTAATATTATAAAATATGTAATGAAAACAGCATGCTCAAATTAACCTTTTCTCACTGTTTCAATAGCTATGCAAGAGGAAGTACTAAAGCTTGTTCTACTGGCTTTGGAAGATGGATCAGCTCTTTCCAGGAAAGTGTTAGTCATGTTCGTAGTTCAACGTTTAGAGTCACATTTTCCTCAAGCATCTAAGACAAGTATAGGACATGTTGTACAATTGTTATATAGGGCAAGTTGTTTCAAGGTAATATTCAGTTTTAGTTTTTACTCTATAGTCACCGTTTACTAACAAAATATCAGTTTATTTATCTAATCAGAAATTTTAATCAGGTATCTAAACGGGAAGGCGATTCATCACTCATGCAGTTGAAAGAAGAGTTTAGGACATACGAGGCTTTAAGAAGAGAACACGATGCACAAATAGTGCAGATTGCAACTGAAGCAGGGTTAAGAATAGCACCTGATCAGTGGTCCGCGTTATTATATGGAGATACCAGCCATAAATCTCATATGCAAAGTATTATAGACAAACTTCAAACTCCGCAGTCTTTTGCTCAAAGTGTACAAGAATTGGTTATTGCTCTTCAACGTACTCCTGATCCTGGACAATTAAGTAGTCTAAGACCCCAATTAGAACGTTTAGCAGCAATAGATCCTAGCCCAGGTATAATTTATATATCAAGTAATATTTGTTGGACAAATATTTCAGATTGTGTTCTATTATATTTATCACTATTATTATAGAAACTGAACCACCTACATTAGCAGAATGTCGTGCAGCATTAGAAGCTGTCAGAACAGTAGTCGCAGCGTTAGTAGAATTTATTCAGCAACATGGTAATCGAAAAGCACAGGATGGTACTCACAATGTGGGTCCAGGTCAACCAAAATATAAAGTGAGCATGTGTCGAGATCTTGCACTTAGAGGATCTTGTCCCAGATCAACAAGCTGTACATTTGCTCATAGTGATATGGAATTGGATAAGTAAGTTACGCACAAAGTTACGCGATATAGTCGCATATACATAGGATATTTAATAGATGATTTATATTAATTTCATAGATACAGATCAAAAAATAGAAAGCTAAGTATCAGGTCAAATTTACCCGCAAGTAATAATTCGGATATAAAGACGGACAAATCGGCTACTGGGTCAAATAATAAAACATACAAGCAAAACGATGATTTATCTTACCATTCCATAAAATCACATGATAATACTCATAGAGAAAGTAAGTATTTTTGGGAAAGTGAAATAATATACACGGACGATAAGGTAAATGATCGTTCTATTTTCTTTTTAGATTTCAATTCTATAAATAAAATTAATCCGATGCAACATCACACTCCATCAAGTGAAAACAATTTCGTTGGCTCTTTAACAAACTACATGTTACCACCTCCGCAAGGAACGTCACCTATGGTACCGAACAAAAATATGGACATATATTGCTCTCATTACATTGTGCCGAATGCACCTGTTGACTACACTGCACCTAATCTCAATATGTGGGACACGTCGCAAGTTTCACCTAATGTAACCAATGGTGTTTCAAATACTAAAAAGGTGACATAAATTTGCTCTTCTTTATTCCATAATAAACGCTTTGATTATGTGGGTGTAGGCAACATATATTAAAGTGTTATATATTTATGTTGCAGCAGCGGACGGTTGCTAAGACATTGGCGATGTTACGGCAACGCAGAATAGAAATTTTAAATGAGCTTGAAACTATTGTCAACAAACAAGTGCCACAGATAAAGACAGTACGATCATGCGATTATTGAATTGATGTTATGAATATTTTTTTTACACATCTTTTATTCTTTGTTCATACTTTGTTCGCAGAATTACGATATGCAAGCAGATACACTATCGTGCAACTTCTCCATATGGACAAACGCGTCAAGTAATCTTATGGTTCCTCCGGCAAATATAAATTGTAACAATAACTTTCGGTGCACAGATCCGATCTTATTCGACGATGAATTCGTTCCGCTTGACGCGTCATCTAGTAATAAATATGGACCAATTTCTAAATTATCCAAAAACATAATGAGGTAATAATTAATTCCTAAGCAAATAATTATTGAATAAAAGTTAAATATATAGAGTATAAATGGAATTATATTTGTTTTAGATCTAGTAACTGCGTACAACCTACTAATTTTTATACAGAAGGAACTGCACCTCCTCCGTATCGTCCCATGCCAACGGCGAATTCTGTTACATCTTGGTATTACGGTAATCAGCGTAAGTAAAATTGTTCTCTTTCTGTTCAATTGTCTAATGTTTGTAATTTGTAGAAGTACTAAAAAAAATGTAATTATAACTAACATAACAGAAGGATATTTGAATTACAGCTTATTCTGCTATTGCTGCGAATGGCGAAGTACAGCCTATCAATACTACCGGTTTTGGGGACAACTATATTACGTTTGGTCGAAATATATCCGAGTCAACTGCACACACTCAACTTTCACGATCGGAGTGCATGTCTAAGGAGTATGTTATAATAAATTTACAACTTGTATTTTGTAAGTATGTAACTAATACAATTTTTCAGTTTAATTCTTGAGTCACAAAGAGTGAAGCAACAGCTAAAACATCTCGAAAAGAAGATCAATGATTTGAAGGTATTATTAAATTATCGATTTTTATAAGTTGTAATACAATATGTTTTTATCACGTAACAATATATTTTATAAAGAAACATAATTTTTTTACGTTTGTTAACACGTAATGAAATTTTGTTTGTACTCTAATGTTAGTTTGAAATATATATTCAGCTTGCTACACAAGGAGCTACTTTCACGGCCGGAGAAAGGCTAGCGCAAGAACTGCAAATGATTGAAGCTGGTATTAGGGAGAAAGAAAAGGATGTGCGAAATTGGAGCCCGTACGGTACTGTACCTTGGATTCAGTCGTCAAATAATCTGCTTGGCACACAGAATTTTAATCAAGATTACAAGCCAGAAGAGGTAAGTCGTTTCTTTTTAATAGTTTAAAATTAAAATACATAAACACATAAACTTTTTTATTATTTGTAAAAACTGTTACTGCGAATACATATATATAATTCATTAATTTCAATAACTCTTCAGGAAGATACATACGAGGCTGGTATTGCGAATGATATGCGGGAGTTAGAATTGCGATGGGAATTTGAACTTCAAGAGCAAGAAAAACATTGGTCGAGTGAAGAGGACAATTCTAAAAAATAATAGTGAGGCAGTAAGTCTTACTAAGTCGTCTACTTCTTAGATCTGACCTTATTCGTTTAATGGCGACATGTTTTTTGACATGCGCGAGAGAGATCATTTTTTGTGCGAACTTCCATGCATCAGCATGATACATACTTTTTCAAGAGAACGACTGAAAGTGAAGAAAAAAAATAGAATTTGTACTATTTGCAAAGAAAGAATTTAACGCTCTTCTAAATACAACTAAAATAAGAACTCACCACCGGACGATGACGATTTAAACATTATCACTAGAAATTCAGAGAAAGGAAATTATCATTCGCTGTTCAACATTATAAAAAGAAAATTTCTCCCGTTGGTATACTGTAACATAAAAGTGGATTCACTACTTTCCCATGTACTATGCCTTTGCAAGTCTCTTGGTACATAGTATTTGTTCTATTACCGTAATCATGTGTATTATCCTCTAAAATGTTAAATCAACATAAAGGAAAAACATAGCTATGAATATGTGATATTTTGAAACAATTTGTTTATCACAGTTTGTCAGGTCTTTCATGATGATAATTCATAATTTAGTTATGCAGGAAGTCGCATTGTTTTTTATGTTTATTAGCTACAGTAGCAATTTGTTATAGAGATCAATGTATTGTAAGAAGTGAGAGTTAGCCGCCGCATTGGGATTTACATATACGAAACCGGTGAAGGTTTGATGAGAGATCCGTTATGGTGTTGTCATAATGGCAGCATTCATTAATAAACTGATCGAACAGACGACGAGAAGCAGATTTGTTAAAATTTAACAGAAATTAATGTCAGTGTTTTATAAACATGACAGGATGTAGTATATTTTGTTTGTATGTTTGCACAATGAAGCAAAGGATATTATATTACTGATACATTCGGAAAGAATGCTATTTAACCTGCAACGAGGTTACATGATAAAAATATTACGAAATACATATAGACGTTATGCGTAAACACAAAATTGACATATTTTGTTAAAATTTTGAATAATTAAGATATATATTTGCTCTAATTAAGATATATATGTATATATATAAATATATACATGTATATGTATGTACATATATAAATGTATATATATAAATATATACATGTATATGTATGTACATATATAAATGTATATATATAAATATATACATGTATATGTATGTACATATATAAATGTATATATATAAATATATACATGTATATGTATGTACATATATAAATGTATATATATAAATATATACATGTATATGTATGTACATATATAAATGTATATATATAAATATATACATGTATATGTATGTACATATATAAATGTATATATATAAATATATACATGTATATGTATGTACATATATAAATGTATATATATAAATATATACATGTATATGTATGTACATATATAAATGTATATATATAAATATATACATGTATATGTATGTACATATATAAATGTATATATATAAATATATACATGTATATGTATGTACATATATAAATGTATATATATAAATATATACATGTATATGTATGTACATATATAAATGTATATATATAAATATATACATGTATATGTATGTACATATATAAATGTATA